GCAATGGTTCTCAACCTTCCTAATGCCATGACCCTTTAATACAGTTCCTCATGTTGTGGTGACCCCCCAATCATAAAATTATTTTTGTTGCTACTTCATCACTGTAATTTTGATACTGTTATGAATCATCATGTAAATATCTGATATGCAGGATGTGGTTTCATTGTTACAAATTGAATATAATTAAAGCATAGTGATAAATCACAAAACAATATGTAATTATATATTATGAAATATTTATTTCTAATTACAAATAAATGAAATTTTATCTTGAAGCATAGTGTAGCATGACTAACAGTCTTCACGCCCGGTACTCCTCTATGTGGGTATATCTGCATGTGGGCGGACCTCCCGGGCAACTGATAGAGGAGCAGTGTCTCGGTTCCTAAGACCATTGGAAATATGTGTTTTCCAATGGTCTTAGGCGACCCCTGTGAAAGGGTCATTTGACCCCCCCAAAGGGGTCTTAACCCACAGGTTGAGAACCGTTCATTAAGACTCAAGCCTAATGCACATTTCCCACTCATAGCCCTACCCCACTTCTGTGGCCCTCCCTACAACTGTCATGAACTTCTTTGCCACCAATCAAGCTCTGTGACAGTTCCTTTGTCCTCTCAAAGCCCTAGTTCAGCCACGATTCCCTGTAAGCCCTCGGGGGCCATTGTGACTGTGCTGATAGCCTCCCCTGGATGCTGGGTCTGCCTGGTCTTTTTCTTGTGTAACACTTGATAACTATTCATAAATTGTGCTTGAGATTTCAAGTCTTTTTGGTCCCCTACAACTCTCCAAAATAAAATAACTTAGGCTTCTTTCCCATGAAAGTCGATTTTGCATCAGTTATTGATATATGTTATGGATTTTTAAATTAGAGTGCCCGAGGGTTGAAAGTGAACAGGAAGCTCCCATCTCGAGGTAGTACTTCCTGACTACTTTGGCTGCGGTACCTGTTTTTCTAGCAATACCTGTTAACACGTCAGGGAACTCGGCGTTCCTCCTTTAGTCATTTTCCCAGGCTGGGCTTTAGGGTGTTAGCGTCTCCTCTGAGTTACGGTGGATCTCTGAACTTAGAATGTTGTCATACACGTGTGACTCCCCTAACCGTGGGAGTCCGCGGTTAGGGGACACAAAGTCCATTCTGACTCAGCAAGCCCACGCCACAGAGTAGAATGGCCCCAAGGGGTTTTCTGGGCTGATAACTGTATGGAAGCAGAAATCATTGTTATATTGGTTACATTACTCACAACGTGTCATTGTTCTCATTCATTCTGTTCTGGTTGTATCATTTCTAGGACCTGGTTTTTCTGCCCCTCATCCTTGCTTCAGCGTGATTTTTGACCATTTGGTCTGCTATAGATATTTTTTTAAGCAGCTCATTACTCAGTTGATCTTTTTTCATGTACAAGCCAGTCTACTATCTAGCTGAAACGGGACCTCAAGGAGCAATTTGAGTTCAAGGTTTCAAGAGTATCTCGAGGCAACAGTTTGAGGAAGTCCTCTCATCTCAACAGTATGGACTTTTTAAGAATTTGGGTTCTGATCGACACTTTTTTTTTTTAACCAACCGTTCCATAAGGATCTTCTGTGTGGGCACGATCGGAATGGTCGATGTGGTAGTCAGGCACCACTAGTTCTGGTATTAAGGTGAAGGGGGCTGTGGTTCATGTGGACTACGAATAGATGCCTTGCTTCCTTAAGTCTTCGATTTCCTTCTTTCTCTTTCATTCCAGACAGGTAGAGACCTTGGTTATGTGCAACATCCCAGACCTCACCCCCCACATTGGGAATTAGAACATGAACTTTGTGAACTAGATTATGCCACTTAATGGAGTTGTCACTGGAGACTATGGTCCTAAAGCTTTCTGCCCCCAAATTAATCATTCAAGGTGTTCAATTAACTAAAAAGTATTTGTGCCCGATCTCACCCCGCCACACCGAGGCAAAACACTGAGGGGGTGCAACAGAACAGCAAGGGAATGGAGCGGTGAGGTCCCCAGGGAATGCTGAAGGTGGACTTTGGGGCCAGGGCATGGTGCCCCAACAGACTGGACTGGAAAATACTCCTAAAGGCCAACAAACAGTCCTTGAACTAACTACAAAAAAAAAGTATTTGTAATATATATATATATTATATATATATTTGTAATATATATATAATATATATATCCACACATAATTTTTAAAAGTATTCATACCTGTGCCCTTTATATGGCTTATTACATATGTATACATGCATGACTACATATCCATCTGTGCTGAGATACTTCTACCTGTGATTATACATGTACCCACATCTCTCACTGCCCTCGTCAACCCTACAGGACAAGGTAGAACTGTCCCTGTTTCCATGACTATAGCTCTTAGTGGTTTCAAACTACTGACCTAGTGGTTAGTAGCCCAATGTGTAACCACTATGCCACCAGAGCTTCTTGTATCTGCTTTGATAGGATACTGTCTTACGACTTTTCTATTTCTCCCTTTAGTGGAAAATACTGTAGTTTTCCTTGTTCCAGCAGTCGCAGGTTTAATGCATACATACAGAGACAGTCACTCATTGGTGGTTACCAGGGATGGCAAGGAAGGAAGACACATTTTCAAGACAGAAAGCACCTGTTAGTCTGGGTGACAGAAAGGCAGCATGAATATGGGTGAAGCCCACAGCTTGACCAAGGTAGACGGCATCACTATGCGGGCTTCTGAGAAAGCACGTCTCTGGTAAAGGATGTGACAGATACTCGTTTGGCAACAATAACACCCCTAAAAACGGGTGTGGATATAGAAATATACATAGCAGCAGCATGTAAATATATGAGCATGGCATTGTGGGTGCTAAAGTGATAGAAAAATGGTAAGACTCTCCTGTCAAAGGTACAGAAGGGTTATGCGATATGGAAACGCAAAGCCCCATCAAGTTTTAGTTCTCACACAATTCACTGAACCCTTCTTGCAAAAGTGCGATCAGACAACATTTTCCTTGGGTGATGACTTGCTTCACTCAGCATCATGTCCTCAGGGTTTCGAGGACTCACCATTATTCTTTATGTCTGTGTAGTACTCCATGTGTGTACACCATCTTTCTGCTTTAGTGAATAGTACTACAAGGAACATAGGTGTGCACATGTCTATTCATGTGACTGCTTCCCATCCCTAGCCTCTGTACTTAGAAGGAGGAGTCCTGGACCTCCGGGTCTCTCGAGTCCTTGCTGTATGAGGACGCACCATCCTGGTTTCCCTAGTAGTTGTACCGTTTTACAGTCCCACCCACAGTAAATGAGGGTTCCAATCTCCCCACCACTTTGTCAGCATTTATTGATTTCTTCTTTTTACTTTGAAGTTTTTAAGATCAGTGCCATTTTATCAACGTGAGATTGTTTCTCTTCGTAGTTTTTATTTACGTCTCTCTGGTGGATAATGATCACAGCTATCTGCTTATGTGTTTGTTGGCTGCTTGAGTGTCGTAATTGAGTGTCGTACAAGTCCTTTATCAATTTTAAAATTAGATTATGTATTTTTGATGAATTTTTGTGGGGGACCAGCCTCCCCCAAACTGAATGGATCTAAGGGGCGGCTGTGTAATTGAGGGGTAAATTAAAGAGACATCAGACAAAATGAAGCATGCAAGGGCTCACCTCTCGGTCCTGACTTGAAGAGCCAGGTCTGCGCAGAGCGAAGCGGAAATGTAATCCCCCGAGTGTCTATAACCTAGGGCATGCAGGCGACCGGACGCACATGCAGAACAGGAGGGGGCTGTGCGGTCAGCATACACGCAACAGGAGGGGTCGCGCTGGGCTGTACACACAATAGGAAGAGGCACACATGTGACAGGAAAGCGTATAGGTAACAAGATGGAAGGACTTTAGAGTCAAGATGGCAGCCTAACCTTGGTTGTCTGACTTGGCTTGACCTTAGGTGTCTTGGGCTCTCCTTCCGGGGAACAATCCACTATCCTTCTCAGAAGGGAGTGGGCCCTCCTTAGGGTGGGACAGACAATAGGGTCTGATTGCCTGAGATGACTGACAGCCTTCAGAGGTAACCTTCAAGCAGATGACCTCCCAGTGTATAGTCAGTGACCACGTGTTTGCAAGCAGCACTTTAAATTTGGCATTATTATGGGGGGACATCGTGGGGAATAACTTATACTTAGGAGAATATGAATGAGATCTATCTCCAACCCACGAACATGAAGGTTTCCTCCATGGGAGCCTTGGCCTCCCAGACTCCTTAACGTTGAGAGTTTGTCCACATACACTCTCTTCCCAGATCTGTTTCCCACAAGTTTTCTATATTTTTTCAGGTATGTCAGACCCAAAGATTTTGTTCTATCAGCAGATATGAGTATATTTTCTTAAAATACCCCTATGCTAATGAATTTTCAGCCGTTTTTATGTACGACCCTTAACTTTTTGTTTTATCCCTGAATACAAATTAAAATTCACCCTTTTTATTATAGTTCTATGCATTTTCACAGTATACAGTCATCACCACAATTAAGACACTATTTCCATTTTCTAAAAAAAGTTTCCTCGTAACCTTGTAGCCAGTCTCATCCCTTTACTTCCAGTCCTGACAACCACTGGTCTGATGTTTATCCCTTTCCCAGAATATCAGAGAAATGGAATCATACAGTATGTAGGTAGACATGTCAGTCTGCCTTCTTTCACTTAGTCTAATGCTCCTGAGATTCGGCCTTGTAATTACATGTTATCAGTCGTTCCTTTTCTCTTGCGAAATAGAAGCTCATCATACACGTGTGCCTCATCCACTAGTCATGCATGGTGACTATTTCATGCCTTTTTTTTTTTCCCTAGAATCGAGTCATTTGAGTAACTTTGTATTGACAGGATAAGAATTTTTAAACTTCCAGAGAAAAAACGTTTACCTATCAATAGAGATTTATGAAAGATGCATAGACCACAAGATAGTTTTCTCCTCTTGTTGAAAACCACTCAGAAAGTCTTTTCCTTTTCTCCCCTTTGGCTGTAGGTATCAATTGGCACGTCCGGCCACCTGTATCAGGACTGCCTACTCTTGGCAAAACACCTTGCAACAAGGAGCTTCATTTTAACACTTCCATTGCTAACTTGGTCATCCTTCGTGGCAAAGACGTGCAAAGTGCAGATCTGGGTAAGCTGAAGTTCAGACGCACATTTTACGTAGATGATGATAAAGGATCCTTGTCTTTGTTCTTGAGGGAAGAAAATGATAACTGTGTTTTAATGGCAAAAGGGAATAAAGCCATTATTTCAGGGAGTGTGTGATTGGAAACCAAGGTAGAAGTGGTTTACACAAGACAAGAGTTGAGTTATTTCTGCTCCACACCTGGTGCCTCTGCAGTTCGCCCTGTGCTTTGTCCTTGTAGTTCAGGACACCTGCTTGCCTTCCAGCCATCCAGGAACAAGTAAAGCAGGGTGCACTTCCTCCTCCCGACCGCACCTGCCACCCCTGCATTGCCGTCCTATTGCTGTGTCATGACTCATGCTTGGAAGCCATGAGCTGAATTACAATTTGGGGGCTCTGTCATTAAGCAAGGAGAACAGGTTTGCAGAGCAACTAGTGGTCCATGTGACAAGAATCTTCCTATAAAATTGACAGGGAGTGGAAAAAAAAGATTTCTCTTTGTACATTACAAGACTTTACCGCAAAGTGAAGAGAACCTCAGACTGGGATCCCATTCTTGGGGCCCACATATCAGATAAGGGTTTAATATCTAGAATAGATAAAGAAGTCCCACATCTTCACAAGGAAACGGCAAACAACCTCATTGAAAACAAGACAAAGATTTGAAGAGCTATTTCACCAAAGATAAACAAATGGCCATAAAACGATGCTTCATTTTATGAAACCCAAACCCTCTCACCTGGGGTCAATTCTGACTTCCAACGAGCTATGTAGCACTTCCAAGGGCTTATAAATTGTTCTTTTTGGTAAATCTTTACAGGAGCAGACAGCTTCCATGTTCCTCCCTCAGAGCAGCGAGTGGGTGTGAACTGCTAACTTTGTGGTTCGCAGTCCAGTGCGTACCTGACAGCACCCCAAGGTCCCTTTCATTAGCCATTAGGGAGAGGCAGATCAGAACCACAATGAGGTACCACCTTACTCCCAGAGGATGGTTACAAAAGTCCTTTTTTTTTTTTAATTAGAACACCGTCGGTGAAGCTCGGAGGACCTAGACATTCATCTGTGTTAGTAGAAATGCAAACTGGGACAGCCACTGGGGGAGAGTGTGGTGATTCCTTAAGAAGTAAAACATCATAAAATGATTTTAAAATAAAAAAAAAGAAGTTAAACATAGAGCTGGCCTATGACCAAGGAATGCCACTCCTAAGTGCAAGCCAAGGAGACCTGAAAGTAGCGACACAAGCACACGTGCGCCACGTTGGTTGCAGCGCTGTTCACAACAGGCGGGACAAGCTCCATGTCCAACCACAGGAAAGGGGTTCAATAAGTTACGATAGAGTCGTATGAGGGACATTTAAAGATGACTTATATTTTTGACGTGGAGGAAAGTTCACAGCCTAGCAGTGAATGAAAAATGCAAAGCACAGAAGCAGGCATGTAAATTTACATACAGAAAGAAAGTCAACAACAACATTCATTGTGGTCATCATCTTCAGCAGTTAAAGTGACCTTTAAAATTTCTTAATCCTTTAGTTTTGGGTTTTTTTTCCTAAATGGTGTGAATTATTATAACTTTCCCCTAATGAACACAGATTAATCCAAAGAAGCTAGTTTTTCCGGTGATGTGACCCCACGTACAGCACAATGCAACCCTGCCTGGCCCTTCCTCATTTGCACCTCCTGCTCCTTCTGTTAGAGCCCCTTGTCACAGCCGCGGTGTCTCTCCATCTGACGAAGGCCTGCCTTTTTCCTCTTGTGTTCTAGGGGGATTTAAAGATCCAGCCCTCTATACTTCCTGGTTAGCGCCTGCTGATGCTTTTAATGCATGGAAAACTCAACGAGCCTTCAACAAATATGAGAAGTCTGCCACATTGGTCAGCAACAGCCAGTTCTTAGTAAAACCACTTGATCTGATTGTGGGCAAAGCATGGAATATGTTTGCTTCAAAGTAAGTAGAGTGTTAGTCTCCAAACCTTTCTTTCTGAGTTTCGCAGACAATGTAAATACCAGGTAAGATCTAGAGTAAGAACGGTTCCTACAGCCTCAGTGTGGATTCGTTGGCATCTTACTTAGGCCATGGTTACTCCTCTGTACAGTGGGTCATAACTAGGAGACCGTGTGCTGGGGAGTCTATTGGATTAAAATGTACAAACACATTAGACAGCACCAGTCTAGTACATAATTGCTTAGAATTATTATGACTGATTATCATACTAACATTTCAGCAGCAGGAATAGGAGTATTGGTTAATGGGAAGATTCCAAGCCAAATGAAATGAACATCGAAATCTTATTCCCAAATAAGATCCACGGGAGGGTGAACGAGCTGCTGCCTTGCTCAGTAAGAAATTTCTCTTCAGCTTTCCTGGACAAGAAGAAATGCTTTCTCAGATTTGTTGACCTGTGCCGCCATTACTTGATGCCAAAACAAGCACATGAGAGGCGTCCCTGTGTGCCTGGAGTTGGATTGATAGGTTTCCAAGCAGTTCACATTGAACCCAGTCACTTTCTATGGGGTGGAGAACGGGCTGGGATACAACCAGATCAGGACATGCTGCTGCTGCTGCTGCTTTTTACCCCCAAAAAATTCCTTTTTATTTTTTTTAGGGGCTCATACAACTCTTACCACAATCCATACATACATATATCAATTGTGTAAAGCACATTTGTACATTCATTGCCCTTTTTTCCCCAGTTTTATTGGCACATAATCCACATCATACAATTCATCGTTGAGTCATGCCAAGAATTGTACAATCATTATCACAATCAATTTCAGAACACTTTCTCCCCCCCATGACTAAATCGCCTTTAAAATGAGCTGAATAATTACATTCAGTTCTAGTGCCCTCTTCCTCCCGGCTTCACTGTTTACTCCTGAAACCCCCTCACCCTCCCCCTCACCCTACATCCCCTACCAACCCGTGCATCGGTTATTATCTCCATGCATCCACTCCTTCTGTGCTTCACCAACTGGTAAACCCAGCAGGAACAATAAAGAACAAAAATGAAATGGTAAGGATAAAACAATAGCAATATAAAGGTAAAATACCACAATGAGCAAGAAAGAAAAGACCTCCACAATATTTAAAAAGCCAGAAGCAAGCAAGAGATCCTTGCACCTAGAACAAAATCAGGTTGGGTCTAGAGCAGCGGTTCGCAACCTGTGGGTCACGACCCCTTTGGGGGTCGAATGACCCTTTCAATGGGGTCCCTGATTTATAACAGTAGCAAAATTACAGTTATGAAGTGGCAAGGAAAATAATTTTATGGCTGGGTGGTCACCACAACGTAAGGAACTATATTAAAGGGTGGCAGCATGAGGCAGGTTGAGAACCACTGGTCTAGAGGAAGGTCAACTGGCCAAGTATCACGTTTGATCTGGCCTAGTCAGGGTAGTGATCTGTGTTTGATTGACAGTCAGGCTGTTCCACGCCTTGCCTGGGGCTGGAGCGGATCTGCCAGGGGCTTCATCTGACTAGATACTCTGCAGATGGGTTTTTAGCTCCCACTGTCCTCCACAGACGTCCGTAAATTAGATGTTCACAATTTAAGCTCTGACACTTTTTCCTTCATCATATTTGAATTGTGTTACTGTCATCTTTGGATCACACAGGCTGATCTGCTTCTTCCACGTGGACTTAATTGACTCCTCACTCAGATGGCTGCTTTTTTGAATAAAAGCCTTTAAGACCCCAGACACTATTCCGACGGATCGCTGGGCACCATCTGCTCTCTTCCCCACACTTTGCTGCAGCACCCTTATCTTCAGCGATCATTTCATGAAGGGCAGTATCCAGCAGGGCCTTGCTATCAGAAGTAACTCTTCTTGTATTGGGGCTAGAGTTAAGTAGGCACCCAGGCTCCATCTGCTTGTCTATGGAATATGTATGACTGAGGTTTACTTTGGCAGTTGTCTTTTGACAAAAGAGAACCTCCATGCGACCCATTACATTAGGACCAGCAGCAAACCAACAGCAAATAAACAAACAAACAAAGAGAAAAATAACAACAACAAAACTAAAGGCAGGAAAACAGGAACCGATATAAACAAAAAAGTACAACATTGTCAATCATTCCCCCCTCCCTGGGGTAAAAGGCAATTGCACCGATGACCGCCGTTTTCCCAATGACACAGCACTCTGGACACCGTGGGGATGAGGGGTCTGCACGTACAGATCCACCTTGGACCGCAGGATGTTGTCCTGCGTAGTCCTGTCTCCCATTCTGTTGAGCTGTGTGTACCCTAAGTGTGAGGCTTAGCACCAGGGGGAAACTTCCTGGATCCATTCTGCCATGAGCAGTTCCTTACCCAACATCAAAACCTGTCACGTCACCACAAGGAGGGTATCGAGGTGCTAAATACATAGTGATTCTGGTCCCTTTCCCGTGGACATCCCCCCAGCTGGAGGTTCCCCCCAAGGTCCAGTGACTGCCACTTCCACAGTCCTGGGGCGACCCCTCTCTGTTCCCTCTCCCTTCCAAAGACCGCAGTCCTCAGCCCGAGGGGGCAGGCACTGCAGGGCAGGGCTTAGTTCATTCACCCGGACCTCTAGGTTAAGTCCTTCTGGTGTAGCCCTACTTTATGCCACGCGCCTGCACAGTCAGCGTCCAAGGGTCCACGGTCATCATGCTGTTCAGTCCATAGCATGGCTCACCGAGAGTTGGGTAGAAGTGTATTCATAGAGTCTACCCAGGCACATAAAATCTAGTCCATTGTCCCCCTAAGTTTCCTACAGTGCATGTTTAGTACCCCTTCTTGATGTGAGGCTACTTTTCCTCTATTACCCACCAGACTCACCAACAGTCTGTCAGTGTCTCCTCCGAAATGTGGACGTTTCCCTCCCCTGCTCTTGGCTTGGTTTTCCAGCCAGGATTTCCACTCAATCCTATGGGGGACCCCTTGATTTGCCCCAGCCTTGTCTCGATGTTCTATAGCCGCAAGTGGATGGTCATCTCTCATTTTCCCCCTCTTGAGGGAGTGACCCCAAACAATGGGAGATCTCCTCCTTCAAGGTGGCTCTTGGGGAGTGCACAACAGGGAGGTGATGTGTGGTTCATGGCCGGTAGGTAGCCTTCTCCCCTTTTGTTCAGTCATTGCCCCTAAGATTTGTTTAATTGACGTTAGTGGACTCATACAATACTTGTCTTTTTTGATTGACTTACTTCACTCAGCATAATGGTTTCTCGGCCCTTCCGTGTCATGTGGCGTTTCATGCTTTCATCACTAGTTTGTAGGGATGCATAATAGTTCGTTGTGTGCACGCACCATAGCTTCGTTGTCCATTCTCCCACTGTTGGCCATTTGGGCTGCTTCCAGTTTCTTGCTATTGTGAACTGTGCTGCTACGAACATGGGAGAGCACACAGTCACTCATGGTGTGGCTCTTATATTTCTTTGGGGTACATGCCTATTACTGGTATTGCTGGATCATACGGGATTTCAATTCCCAGTTGCTTTAAGTATCGCCATGATGTTTCCCACAGTCGCTGTATGTATTTACAAATCCACCGAAAATCTCTCCACATCCTCTCTAGCATTGTGGTTTTAATCTGCATCTCCCTGACAGCTAGTGATCGTGAGCATTTTTTCGTGTGTACTTCATTTTTGGTGAACTGTCTGTTCATGTCTTTTTCCCATTTCTTAACTGGGGCTTCATTTTCTTCTCATGTGACTCTCGTGGATGCTAAAGGGATGTAAGAGAATGTAAGGACCGATTCTTGCCTTAAAAACTGAACGGGTTCCAGAGGGTACTATCTGCAAGGAGAAAACTTATATACAAAAGAGACAGAAAAGTTAGGGTGCGGTGGACACTGCAGTAAGACACTCCAGGGTGCGGAGCATTTTAGGGGCAGGCTTAGATATACACAAGGGACAGGTCACAGTTTGAAGGTTTACAAAGAGCCATTAACACATCAGCCAAGTTCTTCATCGAGGAGAGGACAGGATGAGACTGGGAACACGAAGTAACTAATAAGTGTGCAGCTTCAGTCAGGGAACCAGAGGCAACTGTCCATTTTCTCAGGTGGAGAGACAGGCCAGCCAGTGGTTCCTTAGCTCCCATGGCTGAGCCGTGGGCGTTTTCTCATCGGCCATGAACCGTGGAAGGTGGTGGTCCTGTCCCATTACCCACGGGGCAAACAACTTTGTTCCTACCAAGGGACAGGAAACCTGATAAACTGGAACGTTGTGAATCTTTCAGGCAAGCAATCAAGGGAACAGAAAGCTCTGAGGAGATTGTGGGTTAGCTTTGGTTCTAGACCACTGCTCTAAAGTGAATATGCCAGCCAAGGAGTCATACAAAGTGTTTGGTTGCCCAGTACATATAAAAGTTGTATTCACACTATATTGGTGGTATTAGGAGTTCAACATTTGAGGTGGTGCGGCAGACTTTGAAGGGATTCTGCAATATCTTAATATTCATCAGCAGGAAAAGGATTGTTTATTGTGTGATATGAAAGGTTATTCCTTCAGTTGACATTTTTTAGTTATATTTTCTGTTTTGTTTTTCCACTAGAGCCTACATCCATCAATACACAAAATTTGGAATTGAAGAAGAGGACTTCTTGGACAGTTTTTCTTTGTTAGAGCAGGTCATTTCCAGTTACTGTAACCTCTGATCTTGAACTGAAAAACTTATTGTTAATACCATTTCTTTAAGGTTTTCAATGTCTTATTTGTTAAAGTAACAGTGGAATGCTGGTTTCATTTTGCATACTAGACCCCAAAAAAAGGAGGGACATATTTTTATTAGAAAATAATATGTTTTCAGTGAAAACATCTTCTAGTTACTTTACATTTTTAAGGGGGGAAAATTGGTTCTTCTACAAACAATATTAGAAACCCTTTGCTGAACTGTTGAGACTCGTATCTGGAATAGCCAAGAAAAAAGAATATTCCATTTTGCCCTCATATTCCTAAATCATCCCTCTTTTCTGAAAAAGAAAATTCTTTAAATATAAAGTAAACCTCTACAGCAAAATTTTAAGCTAAGAAATTCCAATTATGTACATAAATATATAAATGTATTTATCTTTAAAGTGCATGCTTTGAGCCACGAGAGGGAGCTGTTGTCAAAAGCTACAACAAATATCTGAAAGTAAAAAGTCATAAAAGTTTTTTTCAAAAAAAAAAAAGATTTTTTTCTACATAAGCAACTATTTAAGAAAAGAATGTCAGGATTTTTATAATAAATATATGTCATGTTTAAATACAAAAGCAACTGAAGTTTCACTTTGTTTTCTTTTCTGACATTTTTTGAGCAGCAGAAAATTGGGACAGGTTTTCTTTTAGATCTTGGAATGCCAGAGCAGAAATTTTACTCAACTATTGGTTTACAGTGGCTCCAGCTGATTTGGAATGTGGTTATATGTTTTACAGTAAAGAAGGTAAAAGTAGAGGGGGAGGGGGAGGGGAAAAAAAAAAAGAACGTAACACATCCTGGCTCACCGAGCCCTGAGGACAATGTTTCTGCTCAGAGCAGCAATGCACAGAGACGACCACAGATAGGAACTGGAAATACAGAGAATCCAGGGCGGATGAGCCCTACAGGACCAGTGGTGTGTTAGGCGAAACTGGGAAAGTAGAGGGGGAGGGGGAGGGAAAAAAAAAAAAGAACGTAAAAGCTTCTACCCAAGGCTCACCATCAGTGCTTGAAACTGACACACACAAAAGGGGGCTTGAGTCAAAAAGAAAAAACACAAGTTTGCAGGAGAATAATGTTTTTCAATAAAACATCCCATGCACTGTATTAACAAACGTAAAATGGGAAACACATAGGATCACTTGCCCTTTCTGCCAGATCTACTAGTAGTGACTTCTATTTTTATATGGAAAAATGATAGTTCCCAACTTCACTGGTTTCTTCCTTTTCATTCCATATGGAAATGATTACCTTTTTTGCTGTTGTTCTTATCAACTGTTGCTATGATTTAAAATACTGAACCCTATCTTACTTCTAAGGAATGCACCACGGGGTCTGTTCAGCAACTAAAGGCACACCCCACTGCTGCATTTTGTTAACCCAAGTTTACTGAAAAAGAGTTTTGATACAATTTTTTACAAAACAAAGTTTAAAGTAATTGGGAAACACTGCTAAGATCCAAAACGGAACATTTTCCCAGACAGACCCAGTGTAAATAAAAACCTGCAGCCGAGTCCCCGCAGGAGTACCGCTGCTTCTGAGGGACCTTGCTGTTTCCAGAAAGACATTTGAGAAGGGGCTTCCGAAGCACCCAGGAGGACATGTATGTTTGCAGTTTGGAGGCTCATGGAATCAATTGCTGGTCAACAACAGAAGTAAATCCCAGCTTTACACTGAGCTCTGGGCCTGTTTAATCTCTTCGTAACAGCATGGGAGCAAAACCTCTTCTTATGATTCACAGTGGCATTACTAGGTTTGTGCGATGCTTACATATTTGGAAGCTTGTTATAAACATTCGTATGGGAAATAACTTTTTTCCCTGGTCAATGTGGAGTATTACCTTAACTTTTGCCATTAGAGTACAGGCTTGAAGTTTTACCCAAGAAAGCCAACGCCAGAGCTTCACGAGAAGCCCTGGTGTCGGCAATGACTCTGCTTTGACCTGTGTGGAGCCAATGGCCCCCCAGTCAAGACCACATGAAACAAGAAGTTTCTGGGCAGACAAATCCAGAATGCTTTGAAAATAAGCTTTCTGAAATGGTTGGGTAACTG